GTAAACAGGATGTTGTCTAACTGATGACCTAATCTGTCTACTTTAAATTTAACTAACTTAACCACCTAACACCTAAACACAATAAGATTAACATTGGCTTATCATCCTGCATTGTCTATACACTGCAGCAGTTTTTATTGTACTTTATTGTATACATCTGGTGAGGATGCCTCCACGTCACCTCCTGAGGGAGGTGTTCCCGGCACGTCCAGCTGGGAGGAGGCCACGGGGCAGACCAAGTGGAGAGATTATATCTCAACACTGGCCTGGGAAGAGGAAAGTTGGCCAATGTGGCCAGGGAAAGGGAAGTTTGGCGTCCTCTGCTGGACTTGCTACCCCCGCGACAATAATTGTATTATTATTTATGTGATGTGACATTAAAGCCGCAGTCAGTGAATAAGCGCTTGGTTCCAACTGACTTACAAAATGTTTCATCACTTCAGAAATCAAATTAATTTATTTAACACACTTAAAAATGTTCCAAACATTGACTTGATAAAGGAACTCAATTAAAAATCCATTCATGCCAAAATAAAGTATTTGAACAGACACACTATTTTAACCACAGCCTCAGTCCCCAGTCATTTACTGACTATCCACCCCATGTGGATTAGTGGTTGTAATTAATCTCCATGGTAAATTTCCTGAGTAACATATTAACTTCCACTGCTCACTTTTAAAGCAAAGTGTACAACTGTTAATTTGTGCCAATGACAAGTAATTCCTTGAATGGTATAATTAGGATGGTTTCAGTGGTTAAGAGCAGTGGGTAGTAGCCCACATGTTTATTTTTAGGCTAGTTACGCATTCAATTTGTCTGCTATTGTCTGCCATGTCTTTTTTCCTGCTGTTTTATTACAGAGAGTTTAATTTTTTACACAATATATGCTTTACATCAGCTTCCAGTATGTAGTATGTAATCATCAGTAAATCTGTGATCAACCTAGTGGTCTGTTGTGGTCAAATTACTTAAACCTGGTTTCACCTAGTTGCACCTCCTCAGTCTGGCTTGTCCAACATAAAATTTATTAAAGCCCGGATGTACTGACTAGACTAAAGCTTACTTTTTTTCATGCTTTTTTTGTTATCCTGGATTGTCTGAATTCTGCTCTTGTGAAATAGTCCCCTGATTATCCTCTCAGACTTTGTAAAATTCCTCTGCAGAAAATGGTACAACCGTATCCTCAGGTTAAGTAGTCCTTGTTACGGGTAAACTAATCTTCATGTACGTTACCACCAGTAAAGTGTCTGTTTAAAATCTGGTGAAGGAGATTGTTGGGTAATTAGTTTTACAGTAAATCAGCAGATTGTAACATAATCATCAGAACTTTCTGGCAGCGGCAACAAGCACCGGAAGGATCCTGTACAATCAGAGCAAC